CACCCAGATCGGACCAGGGGTTCTGGAGTTAGGTGGAAGTGTTCATTTGACCGACTGCACACGAGGCAGTAGCCGAAATCAGTTACATACATTTTGGCCTTGCAGTCGGTCTTTGTTCGTGGGGTAAAAGATACGAAAATCCTTGCCATCCATGGTGTAACAGAACTTTATTTTCTGCCTGGAACTATTGAACACTGACCGAGACTATTGAGACAAGGGAATATGCTTACCTGGTTTCCGTGGATTATTATAGCAGTTCGGGACTTTTTGTTACCAATATTCGTCTATTTGTGCCATTCATGCGGTGGGAACTCAGCAAGCCCACAGACGAATACAAACTACCGAACACTGGACCACCCTGCTATCCAAATATATGGTATTTTACCTCCCAGACCCGCATATGGCATTCGTATGAGAAATGCACGAATCCTTTGTTTCAGATCCAAGGTGGCCGCCATTTCAGGACTTTGCACGTGTTTGCGGCCATCTTAACGCAAGAACAGCGGTGATTTGCCGTCGAGTGTCTGGAACTAAAATCAGACACTCGAGTAGGCGAACACCGCTGAAACCTCCATAACACTGTAAATTCGTGCTGAAACTACACCTTGCCGTTTGGTAGATAGGATATACTACATAAGGGGATTCTAGCGACCAGCAAGATATGCATGGATGGCAGGATTTTCGTGCCTTTTCACTGCACAAACGAGGACCGACCAAAAGGCCAAAACTTATGGAATTCTTTTTGGCTAGTGTGTCTATGCGGTCGGTCAAAACTTCAAAGTCCCATAACTCCCGAACACTTTAACCGAATGGGATGATTTTTTAATATGTTGTTCCCCTAACTGAGGGCTATCTGGGGTACATCCAAAACATGGGTAAAACTGTGTGTGTGTTAATTATGTTAACTGTTTAACTGAGGGGAGAAGACGTGTGGGATGTACCATGTTTGTTATTGGGTACTGTACTAATTATGTAGGTGTCGCCCTCCCCAAGGGCAGAATTGCATAAAAAGAGACTCCCTGTCAATAAAAGTTAGTTCTGCTTGACCCTTCAAAACGTAGTCTCGTCTCTTTCTTGGAAGGGGATTTACTGCACCATTACTTTGCTCCATTTTACAGATATGCCTGCTTTTACCCTTGGATCTCGTGGATGGGAATAAGAACAACTCCATTATTATACAGCACCTTGCCAGGGAAAGGACGTCTCCAACGGCTGATACCCTCTCATCACCTGGGTAGCCGTTACACTGGTAACAGCGGTGGGATGGTCCTTTCGTCCACAGAGCGAGTGCTGAATGGAGTCTCAGTACGCCAAACTGAAGAAACCCACACTGAAAGATCTAGGGGAGGCTCGGGGAAGGAGTGCCAGTAACAAACCCCGGAGAGAGCTGATAGCCGACCTGCTGGAACTGGACAAAATTGATAGATCCATGGAGGTCACTGAACAACTTACTCCTGCAAGCGAGGAGGATGAAGTCACCAGCATTGTATAGAGGAGGTTAACCATGTACCCAGTGACAGCGACTTCAGTGGAACTGATTGAACGGCTATTCCTTGAAGTGAGAGCGGAAATTTGGGAAAAGAGGGGATACGAAATTGAGCTGTAAGAGCTAAACAGCCAATTACACAGACAGTTCATACTCCCCCATCTGCTCCTGTAGCAAAGAAAGTACCTTTTACTGCATTTAAAACCTTTGTAGAAAGTGAAGAAGAGATTGATGGATATTTGGCCGATTTTGAAAGGCAGTGTTCCCTACATCAGGTGCCCCCCAGAGCAATGGGTCACTATCTTGCCTGGGAAACTATCGGGTAAGGAAAGCGAGGCCTTTCGGGCTCTTACCCCAGAGGGTATCCTGCATTATCAACGGGTAAAAGATGCACTGCTTACCCGGTATGCTGTAACCCTAGAAACGTACCGCCGCCGCTTCCGGGAGTCCAAGAAGAATGCGGTAGACTCCCACATGGAATGGGCTAATTGGATGCACGCGGGTGTAATGCTAACACCGGTGAGGAAGTGTTACAATTGTTTCTACTAGAACATTTCTTCCAAGATTTGTCGGCGGATTTACAGGACTGGGTACGAGATCGTCGCCCCGCTAACCTAAACGCGGCGCCTCGGCTGGCGGATGAGTACGCCGAAACTAGGAAAGTGAGCCAGGGCACGCCACGACCAGCGCATAAGGTAGAACCTCGTACCCCAACCAGCAACCCCAGACTCGAGTTCCGGGCTCCTGTACCCCCAGAGCCGCCACGTCCTTAGGGGTCTAACAACTACCCCCGAGATTTGTCTAGGATCACTTGTCATCGCTGCAGCAACACTGGACATATTGCCCATTACTGCCCTTTGGGATCAGCGTCTAATAATAATTGGAGATGCCCAGCACCCAACACAGAGGTCACCTCACCACGTCCCTCTGCCGCGCACTGTCTGGAGAATGCATGGGGATTTTATATGAGGCAGACCCAATACAAGCGGCCTCCCCAGATAACCGCCAACATCATCGGCAGGAGGTGTGCGTGAATGGACAGGTAGCCCAAGGCTTAAGAGATACCGGGGCTACCATCACCCTGATGCAAAGACACGTGGTGAAGCCAGAACATTTGTCCAATCACACAGTTGCTGTCCATGTTGCAGGGGGGCCTGTGTTTCGCTTACCCACGGCCCGGGTACACCTGGACTGGGGGTCGGGTCGGGAAAGACCACTGTGGGCATCATGGACAACCTACTTGCTGAAGTCGTGTTGGGCAATGATATTGGCTTCGGCCTATTTGCCCATGTGGCGGAACCAGCCTCGCCACTGGGCATTGGAGAAGACTGATTGCCGGCCTCCTGCCCTGTGACTATGGCCCCATGTTGAAAGGATGGATTTTCCCCTGCAAAGACCCAAAAGCTGGGTCTTTCGGTACTTTCCCTATGTGAGCAGTGTTACCCAAATAGCTATGCCATGGAGCCCATTTTTATAATGAAAGACTATGGCAAAGACTTTGGCTCCATGGCAATTGAACTGTATGTGTGTGCTCTGAGCGCCATTCAGTAATAATGTGCGCTCAGATCTGAGCTATCTGGGGATATGTTGAATGTACCTGTTTTGTGCAATGGCTGCACAGTTATATGTTTTTATGTGTTTTGCTGCCATGTGACTAATGGAGTTTTGCCTCTGTCCTGGAGATAATTGGATTACTTCCCCAATTATCTCCAGGATAGAAGACTCTGTGGAACTGGTTTTGGGCAGAAAAGCCATGCTGCATTTGGTCAAATAGGTGATCCGTTACAGCCCACAACCGCTGCTGCTTGTCCCGTGACCACCCGCTCACAGACCCGTACCACAGATGATCCTACAACAGGACGGGAGACCCAGGTAAGCAAAGAACCGACTCCTAGCCCCACAACGGTAGAGAGGCCCCTAGTGTCAGGTATAGCATGGCATGTATTTCGTCGCCGGAACCCACTTCCGGGTTCACGGCGCTCAGCCCCGCCCTTTTTTCTGACGCGGTCCCTCCACGATACTTAGGAAGACCGCGCCAGATTCAAAGGGCTGGATTATTCGCACAGGTGCTGCAGAAAGATCAGCTGCTCTACTTTTGATCCTACCTGCTCCACTTCTAGACCTCGGCTTGTAAACGGATTTCTACCTTCTCCACTTCTCGACCTCGGTTTGTAAAACGGAATTCTACCTTCTCCTCTCCCAGACCTCGGCTTGTAAAAACGGACTTCCTCACTCTCCATTCCTAATTCTCAGCTTGTTAATAGAGACTCCTAATTTCTCCTCCATTGGGTGAATTAACCCTTCCAGTGCCAGAACTGCCTCTAAGTTAAGTAAATCTTTTGCCAAGGAAACCAATTCATATTAATTAATTTATACAGTATTTAAATTTCTCTAAACTCTCACTTGTCAATAAGGGATTGCTACTAAGGCTAATTCTTCCTGCAAATACCAATTTATTCAAACTGCAAGCCTGTCCAACTTCATTATTAAATTTCTCATAAATTATCCCATCTTAATCAAGTTGGAACTAGCATTGCATTTTTCCCTGCATGTGTATTTAAAGATACAGTCACCATTGTTTCACTTCAATATAAAAGGAGGTGAAACTTATTGTTCCTGCAATCAGAAAATTCTGCAGTTGAGTTCCAATTAAAGAAGTATTACAAAATAAGTATCACAGAATAATCCAGCCTATTCAATGGAACCAGCAGATATTAACTCTCAAGTTTCTGCCCTAACCAATAGAGTAGATAAGATTGCTCAAGGGTTACAGGAACTGCAAATTACAAATGAGAGAATATTAACCTATGTTAGAGACATGCAAGGCCATCTTCCTCATGCCGCTCTTCAATCGGCTGGTGATCCTGCTGTCTGTAATCCAGAAAAATTTTATGGAGATAGAACAAAGTACAGAGAGTTTTTGAATTCTTGCAAACTACTAATAGCTTTAAAACCTAGATCTTATCCCACCGAAAGATCCAAAGTCTGTTCAGTGATCTCCTTTTTAAGAGGTGAACCTATGGCCTGGGCCCATTCCTTTTTGGAAAATGATGATCCCATATTAGATTCATTGGATGAGTTCTTTGAAGCTATGTCTTTATTATATGAAGATCCTTTTAAACAAACTACTGCTGATTTAACCATCAGAACATTACACCAAAAGAATAGACCTGTTGAAGATTATATTGCAGAATTCAAAAGATGGGCTACAGAAACCCAATGGAATGATATTACTTTACGCAATCAATTCCGTCTCGGATTATCTGAAGCTGTGAAAGATGAACTCTCTCGTACAGAACTTCCTCCTACCTTAAATGCATTGATTCAACTGTCCATCAGTATTGATAGACGTCTAAGAGAAAGAAAAGCTGAAAGGGTTCTTACTAATTCTACCTGGAGAAAACCTTTCACTACTCTAAAACTACCTGAAAAATTTCCTCCACAAACTGAACCTATGGAAGTAGGTATAATAAAAAGTCCTCTTACTTCTGAAGAAAGAATAAGAAGGAGACAACTAAACTTATGTATGTATTGTGCTTCGAACGAACATCTAATTTCCGAATGTCCTCTACTGAAACATTCAAAAGGTGGTAAGCTTCATTCATCTACCTCTATATTGAACCTTTTTCAAAAAAGAAAAGCATCTACTTATTTTTCTATATCTCTCATATTACAGTGGGATACAAAAAGAATCGTGACTGAGGCCATCATTGATTCTGGTGCTAATGGAACTTTTCTTGATTTTTCTTTTGTTTCAAAAAATAAAATTCTTGTGTTCAAAAAACTAACTTTATTCCAATCAGAGTTATTGGCGGTTCATTTATATCCTCAGGACCCATCAAAGATGAGACAATCCCTCTAAGAATGATTACCAACAACGTACATTTCGAATTCATTACATTTGATATTATTAAATCTCCACTTTATCCCGTCATTCTAGGAATTAATTGGTTAAAACCCCATGATCCTTTAATTAAGTGGTCTCCCTTCTCCATCTCCTTTGCTTCTGATTTCTGTAAAAAAACGTGCTTACAACACATTCCTATTCTCCAAACTACTGTAGAACCAGTTATACCTCCATTCTACTCCGATTTTGCAGATGTCTTTTGTAAAAAAGAAGCGGAAACACTTCCTCCTCATCGGGTATATGATTGCCCAATAGATCTCATACCCGAGCTCCTATTCCTTATGGTCATATTTATCCACTCTCTGAAAAGGAGTTAGAAATTTTAAAAGAATATCTTAATGAAAATTTACGCAAAGGGTTCATCAGACCCTCGACCTCCCCAGCTGCTTCTAGTATTTTCTTTGTGAAGAATAAAGACCAAACCATCCGTCCTATTATAGATTACAGAGCCTTAAATAAAATAACTATTAAAAATCGTTATCCTCTTCCACTAATAAATGAATTAATTGAAAGGTTAAGAACTGCAACTATATTCACTAAACTCAACCTTCGAGGCGCATATAACCTCATTAGAATAAAACAGGATGATGAATGGAAAACCGCCTTCCGGACAAGATATGGTCTCTACGAATATCTAGTGATGCCTTTTGGGCTCTGTAATGCCCCTGCAACATTTCAACATTTTATAAATGATATCTTTAGAGATCTTCTAGATATATGTGTTATTATCTACTTAGATGATATCTTAATATATTCTAACAATTTGGATGAACATAGGAAGCATGTTAGATGGGTTCTATCTAGACTGAGAACTCATAAATTATACGCTAAACCAGAAAAATGCCTTTTTGAGGTTACTGAATTCTCCTTTCTAGGATACATTATTTCACCTCATTCTTTGAAGATGGATAATTCCAAAATCAAATGTATTATTGATTGGCCTGCTCCTACTACTACAAAAGAATTACAACGCTTTCTTGGATTTGCAAACTTCTATAGAAAATTTATTAGAAACTATTCGGATGTATCACATCCTCTTAACCTCCTCAACAGTAGTAAACGTCCTTTTAATTGGAATAAAGATGCACAAACAGCCTTCGACGAATTAAAAAAAAGATTTACAACTGCACCTATTCTACAACTACCTAATCCAACATTCTTATATGTTCTTGAAGTTGATGCATCAGATGCAGCCATCGGAGCAGTTCTTTCTCAACTAAAGACTCCACAAGATCCACTTCATCCAGTTGCCTTTTTTTCAAGATCCTTGAGCTCTGCTGAAAAAAATTATCCTATTGGTGAAAAAGAATTATTAAGTGTTAAAGCTGCCTTCGAAAATTGGCGTCATCTTCTGGAAGATACAAAACAACCTATAATAGTTTATACTGACCATAAAAATCTTGAATATCTCTATACCAACAAAACCCTTACAGCTAGACAAGTTAGATGGAACCTATTTTTTAACCGATTTAACTTCCAATTAATATACAGACCTGGAACTAGAAATAAAAAGGCTGACGCTCTTTCTCGAATTCCTTCTAAAACTACTACTGATGATTATCCTCCTAACAAAATAATAGGGATCCTCTCTTCTCTTTATGATGACATAAAGAATTTGAATCAGAAGGATCTTGAACTTCCCAAAACACCTATACTAACAAAAAAGGATGGTATATTTTATTTTAAAAATAGAATTTATATTCCTCCCATTCTTAGGAATAAATTACTTAAGATGGTTCATGATTCACCCCTAGCTGGACATCCTGGAATAAAGAAAACACTTGAACTAACTTCACGATATTATTAGTGGCCTCGCCAGGATAGAACCATTGAATTATATGTCAAAACATGTCCTATCTGTCAAAGGTCTAAACCAGAACATAATCAACCTTTTGGATTACTACTTAATTTACCTATTCCAGAAAAACCTTGGCAATCCATTTCTATGGATTTTATCGTTGATCTTCCACCTTCTCAACATTTCACCACTATTCTTGTCGTTGTGGATCGCTTCACAAAAATGTCCCATTTCATTTCTTTAAAAAAATTACCCTCCTCTGTAGAATTGTCCAAGGTCTTTATTGACAATATTGTGAAACTTCATGGTCTTCCTGAAGAAATTATTTCTGATAGGGGGACACAATTTACCTCCAAATTCTGGAAAGAGATGTGTCTCTCCCTTCAAATTCAACGCAAACTCTATTCCGCTTATCATCCCCAAACTAATGGGCAAACAGAAAGGGTTAATCAATGTTTGGAACAATATCTTCGATGTTATTGTTCATACCTCCAAGATGACTGGACCACATGGTTACCTATGGCCGAATTTTCTTACAATAATACCATTCATTCTAGTACGAAAATGCTACCCCTCCAAACCGAAATAGTGCACCCAGAGGATGCCCCATGAGAAGGGGGTACTGTCAGGTATAGCATGGCATGTATTTCGTCGCCGGAACCCACTTCCGGGTTCACGGCGCTCAGCCCCGCCCTTTTTTCTGACGCGGTCCCTCCACGATACTTAGGAAGACCGCGCCAGATTCAAAGGGCTGGATTATTCGCACAGGTGCTGCAGAAAGATCAGCTGCTCTACTTTTGATCCTACCTGCTCCACTTCTAGACCGCGGCTAGTAAAACGGATTTCTACCTTCTCCACTTCTCGACCTCGGCTTGTAAACGGATTTCTACCTTCTCCACTCCTAGACCTCGGCTTGTAACTCTGAATTCTACCTTCTCCACTCCCAGACCTCGGCTTGTTAAAACGGACTTCCCCACTCTCCACTCCTAGTTCTCAGCTTGTTGAAACGGACTTCTAATTTCTCCTTCATTGGGTGAATTAACCTTTCCAGTGCCAGAACTGCCTTTAAGTTAAGTAATACTTTTACCAAACAAGCCAATTCCTATTATTTATGTTACACAGTATCTAAAACTCACTAAAGTGTCACTTTGTCTAATTATTCCTCTTATTCATAAGGGATTGCTACAAAGCCTAATTTCTCCTTCATGTGTATTTAAAGGTACAGTGACCATTGTTTCATATCAATATAAAAGGAGGTGAAACTTATTGTTGCTACAACCAGGAAATTCTGCAGTTGAGTTCCAATTAAAGAAGTATTACAAAATAAATATTACACCTAGCTTGGGATACTCCCGAGGAGTTTGGGAGGGAAAACAGAGGGGATCCAACCCTCCAAAAGTACCAGGAAATAGCCGACAGTGGGGGGGATGAGCGTGAATGCTTTGTATGGGATAACGACAGGCTGTATAGATTGACCGAAGGTAGGAAGAGAGGCTGTGTCCCTTTGCAGAAGCGCCAATTAGTGGTTCCCAGAAAGTACCGGTTGGAACTTCTCCGGATTGGCCATGACATTCCGCTAGCAGGACATTTAGGGGGTAACCGCACCACCTACAGGATAACCCAGACCTTCTTTTGGCCGGGGATCTCGAAGGATGTGCGGCGTTACTGCAGCACGTGTGACGTCTGCCAACGCTTAGGGAAGAGGAGGGTTCACCCTAAGGCTCGATTGTCACCTATGCCCGTAATCGAATAACCGTTTAGCCGGGTGGCAGTCGACCTGATCATAACCCTCTGGTAGGGCCCCTACCTAACCCCAGTCCCTCCGGTAAGAAATATATTCTTACCGTGGTGGACTACGCTACCCGGAAGCCGTCGCTCTGACGAATATCCAGGCTGACACTGTCGCCAGTGCTCTAGTCGGGATATTCACCAGAGTGGGATTTCCTCAGGAAATACTGTCTGACAGAGGCACCCAGTTTACCGCAGACTTAACCCAACAATTATGGAAGGTCTGTGGTATTAAGACCCTCCTCAGCTCACCCTACAACCCTCAGACTAATGGTTTCTGTGAGCGCTTTAATGGTACCCTAAAGCAGTTACTGCGGACCATTACAGCGGAATACAGAGACTGTGAGCGATTTTTGCCGCACCTCTTGTTTGCATATCGAGAGGTGCCTCAGGAGTCCACTGGGTTTTCTCCGTTCGAATTGCTCTATGGACGAAGAGTTCGAGGCCCTCTCGATCTCATCCGAGAGCACTGGGAGGGAGAGATGGAACATGAGGGCGTCCCCATTGTGCCATATGTTCTGGAGATGCAGGACCGCATGGAGCACTTAGCGCGGATGGCACGGGACCATCTCCAGGTGGCCCAGGGTTGACAGAAACGGTGGTACAATCGGGGCGCATTCCAGGTGGGGCAGAAGGTTCTGGTGCTTAGACCCGTTAAAGGGAACAAACTCCAGACCTCCTGGCAGGGCCCTTACAAGGTAGTAGCGCAAGTCTGTGACACTACCTATGTGATCACCAGTAGCAAAGATGAAAGGATTCAGAAATAATTTCATGTTAATCTGTTGAAGGAGTACCAAGAGAGGCCAGAGGATATTGCCGCCATATGTATTCCTGCCACTGAGGATCCTGACAGCCTACCTATCCCAGACCTTCTAGCCCGCTCAGAACCCAATAGCTTGCTCAGCACAGTGCAACTAGGGGAGCGGCTAAACCCAGCCGAAAAAGGGCAGCTGAGACAGTTGCTAACGGAAAAGGGGTTAACATTTTCCCAGGAACCAGGATACACGCCACTAACGACTCACTATGTAGAGACCCCAGGACAGAACCCTCTTAGACAGACCCCCTACAGAATCCCTGAGACAGTAAAAGAGGAGATGAGGAAGGAAATTCAGGAGATGTTGAGATTAGGGGTCATAGAGCCGTCTGATAGTCCCTGGGCCTCGCCAATTGTCCTGGTACCCAAAAAGGAAGGAACTACTAGGTTCTGTGTTGACTATCGGCGCCTCAATGACCATACAGTGACGGATGCCTACCCCATGCCCAGAGTGGA